TTAAACTTACCCGGGTATGTCACATAACCTGCTTTCTGGAATACCCCCCAGGTTTCTGAGTGGGACCATTGACAGACTTATGCCTTGTCCACACGTACACGGGTATTTTTTAAAACTGTGTTTTTCCTCCTCCGTTTAAAAAAAATCCCTGTCCACACAAACATTGTCTTCTAAAATATTTCTGTCCACATTAAACCGCTAAAATGCTCTGTGATAAGCATGCCAAAACAACAGGTGGCATTATAACTCTAAGCGTACTGCCATGTTAGCCAATCAGAAGCCTAATTGCCAGTGCTGTTAAGTTGAAAACCATGGCGCACATTCCGACATCTGTGTTGATCAATTTTAAATTTTATTTATCTGTACACACGTAAGAAGTCCTGTCAGCAAGGTTAGCACAAGCACTATTTCGGCTAAGTCCGCCATTGCTCAAACTCGCCTAATGTATACCGCAAACAGCGCACGCTCTGACGTTAAACAAAGTGGACAACGGCACACAATCGGACGTTTCGAGCCAAAAACTCCGTTTTCCCTGTCTACATGTCGACGCTGAAAACGGAGTTTCTTAAAATCTTCACCCTGGATGGAGTTTTGCAAAAGCTCCATTTTCAGTGACCTGAGACGCCATTTACGTGTGGACAAAAGCCCAAGGTGTATAGAAAAAGGTACGTTTTAAAAAATACCCGTGTACGTGTGGACAAGGCATAAATTACGTTAAAAGAATCCACTAAATCTAAAAAGTCCTTTACCAGAGGCTTGTCAGGACAGCACATGTGAATAATAAAATCCCCAACAATTACCACTTAATCATAAATTGGCATATGAACTTTTACAGTTTTACTGTGAACTTTCACAGCGCATTTTTTCCTGAGTGAACCCCCCCTGCCCAGTTAACTCGAAAGTACTCCCATTTGCAGAAGCAATTATGTTTATTTCCCCAGTGTTAGTATATTTCTTTAGATTGAAAGTGGAAATACTTCTGGGGTGTCATGCCTTGCTCGTTCGATCCTCCCGTGTGCCACGCCCCCTAATCTACCCCGTGTGGATTCCCCATGTTCACCAGCTGTTTCCTGTTGCTGTCATTAGTTCAATGTATTTAGTCCGCGTTTCAGTTAGTTTCTTCAGTCCGATCATTAACGTTACGTGTGTTTTGGAGTGTGTTACCCTGTGAATAAATTCCTTTTGTTCATATCCACGGCTTCCTTCGCCTGCTTTCCTGTGCCAGTCGTGACATGAGGCCTGAGCACCCCCCCCCCTCACCCAAAGGTCAAATGAAAGGATTTGCCTCTGATATGAATATCATATTTAAGCCCAGAATCCGATAGATTCGTATGCATCTGTAGAAATCATTGTTATAATTTGTGTGTACTTTATTGGCGCCAATTCATTACAGGTATCCACGTGTATTTGGACTGCTTTACAATTATAAGAAACATGAATTTCTGAAAATGCTAAGCTGCTCCTTAGAATCACTTTGATAAACCCCCTCCCACTTCACTTATGTGCAGTTAAACGGAAGTTAACCATAGCAGCGGCAACATGAAAATAAATTCCTGCCTCATCATTCTATGTAAGTAAACGAATTAAATTATAAAAAATTGTGGAATGTTTTCGACGTCTCATAGATTATGTGGAATTAGCCTTAAATGTAAGCAAGTAAGTAAAGTTTTTTCACAGACAGACGTCACAAAGCGCTGAGCAATAAAATGAAATAAAATGTCAACGAAGTTAAAATACAGAGTTAAAAATAAAACAGAATATTGTAACAAGCTACCAAAAGCCTCGTTTAATTAAACAGGTAAGTCTTTTAGCTGGGCCTTAAACTGTTCGACCAATTGCACCTGTCACAGTGCTGGCGGAAAACTGTTCCAGTCTGGAAGCCACAGATTGAAATGCAAGATAACGACTAATACAGGAGTCAGCACCATATGAATTTTTACGGACATTTTGATCAAAACGCAATTTTACTACGGACATAGAATTGTAATAGTGGGTCAATAAGATATGCTCACAATAATAAGTCAGCCAATAGAGTCCGGGGTTTAATCATCAGATGGCGTTTATTACCCCCATACCACTCCTATACTGTATGTCCACCCTGCTCATCGCCTGGCTTACTCCTAATACACATGCTAGGCGCACGCACATATATGCACACACGCTACGTACAACGATAAACATTAACACTGTACATGACATAACACACAACACATTTATAGCGACACAAGCGATTACTGAGAACTATTTACAAAGCTGGCATCAGTCCAACCTGCCGCGCTGCCCGCCGCTACCTCCGCGATACAGTATTTAGAAACGTAACACGCTTTTTCTCAATC